TTAAGTTTATCAATAGAACTCTGAGCTGAAAGTTAGATTTGAAATTGTTTCGATTTTCCCCTGGAACAAATTTCGCGCATGGACAAATACAGTGAACACCGTAAATCCGACCTTGCCCTCCACGAGGGAGTTATTTTTGTTAATTCGAACTTTTCTCTTTACTCATTTTGTGAAGAATCCAGGCGTGCATTTATTTGTTGATTGTATTGGAACCTGACAACAGTCGGTAGATTATATAACAGACTCGTTATTTGACATGTCGTCAGAAACTGAGGAACCGTGGATGCGAGACGCGTGAAACTGATAGCGTTTGAAGTGAGTGATCTTGCAACGGAGCACAGGTTCGTTACAAATGTCTGAAATGTTTATGTGTGCTGTGACTCATATCAGTAGGTCTGTAACATATGTGTCAGTAGGTCTATAGAAAATGTGTATTTCAGACATTTGTCACGAACCCCTGTTGATCAGTGCAGTGTAACAGACGATATTTCTGATAAATTGCATGAGCGTTAAAATTGTTCCCATTGCTGGCATTGGTGATTTCAACCGATGTGCATTTTGTACGATATTGCAGACCTTGGTCTTGTTTTCGTTGTAATATTTTTTTATTTTATTTTATTTTTTATTTTGCACGTAAATTTACAATGACATTGTCAAATCTCACAATGCCCAGCGATATTTCAGCAGCCGTCATGTTTATTTATATTGGATATTGTAGTTCCGATCAGTGTTGTATTAATACAATAAGAATTGTGTCTCGTGATGCATGGTAATTAAAGTCTCATCAACGACACAGCTTTCAAAGAGGCTATATAGTGATAATGCCATGCAAATGTAAATATAATGACATAGCTGCCGCATTGGATAACAAGTGCAGAGCATCGCCTGTCATGCTGGACATGTCAGCTGCATTTGACGTCATCGACCATGGTATATTGTTCAAACGTCTAGAGTACTCTTATAGAGTGACTGGTGACCCACTATGCTGGATAGATACAGCCCTATTTAGGTAAACGACGACATTGTGTTGCCATTATCTACCAATCACACGACAAAATACTAGATATCGGGGTTCCTCAATGGTCGGTGTTACGACCACAAAAATATTGCCTTTATTCAAAACCGATCGGAAAGCTTTGTCGTCGGCATAGCCTTCGCTATCATTGTTACGCTAACGACACACACATGTACATGGTCATCACACCACAGGGCAGTGGGATACCATATCAGAAAATATGGAAGCTTGTCTGACAAACAACAGTACCTGGATGAGGAAAAGACGGAACTTATTGTCTTTCCCCTAAGTATCAGCAAACAATGGCTCTTCAGCTCTAGGTCGGTTGCAGAACTATTTGTCCAAGTTCCACCTTCTCCTTATTTCACAGCAGATGTCATATATGTTGGCTCTTTAATTTCTACGTTTTGTGTTCTTTGCTGTCATTTTACTCTCAATATCCTTCTGAGACACTGGTATTGGAAGGCGTTAAGTTGTTTCTTCTGCTTTTGTAATTTTCCAGATCTCACAGCCATACAGTAATACAGATCTAACAAGCTACTTGAACAGATGCATCTTTGTCATTCTACCAATAATTTGTGCTCTCCAACTATTTCGGAGTCGGTGGAAAACCCCTATCGCCTTCTGAAGCCTGATTTTGATATCACTACTACCTCCTCCTTCTCTGTCCATTTCAGCACCAAGATATACAGTCAGCATCTTCTATTTTAGATAGGAGGCACGGTAGTGTAGTGGTAGGACGCCGGGCTCGTGACCGAAGGGTTGCGGGTTCGAGTCACTTCACGGCACTGTGTTGTATCTTTGAGCAAGATACTTTACTCCACTTTTTCCAGTCTACTCAGCTGTAAATGAGTACGTGGTTGGACAGTGCTTGAATTGTAGAATGCTAGCTGTGAGCGCCTAAATGGCAGCACCGGCTGTATGCTCTCCAGGGAGTTGAGAAAGTAATTGGCCCTATAACCATGGGTAATAATTTGTGAACCGCTTTAAGACGACCTACGAACTAGATTGTGATAAAGCGGTATATAAGAACCTCGAATTATTATTATTATTATTCATACGTATATATTTAAATGCAAGTCCGTCTGAGTCGGTCATCGAATCTTATATTTTCTATATTTTTATGCATATGGAGATAAATGTAACTTTATGAGTAATGCTGATTTTTATACTTTTTATCTACCGTATTTATGATGACGCTGCTTATTTCAGTGACGTTGAATATAATGATATGACGGTGTTGACAATTGTGATTTTGATGATGTCGATGGTACGTATTTGTGAGATATGTACGTGTTTTAAATGTGTTATTGTTAATTGTTGTGATAAATTGATGTAAAAAACATTTAATTAAAAATTTAGTCTTGATTGGGTTTCTCTTGCGGGTAACTAAGAGTATATAAATAATTGTTGATGAATACCGTCTACCATCACCGTTTCCATCTTGTCAGCTTGTAGGCTGACCGCCATCTTTTGAAATAATGATAAGCTAGGTTATACTGTCATTCCTGAAAAGTCTGACAGTGACTGCTGCATGGATCAAGGACTGAGCCATGCGGGACACCAGAGTTCACATTTACAGGAGAGTTCTCTTACCTACCTTAACAGCGGTTTATGTTCGTCCAGACAGCCATCTCTTGATTTAGGAGTTGATCTTACTGCTCATACGTTTGTAAATATTCTGATTTTGTGAATTAGGATGTTGTGGGTATACATATTATTCAAATAACATGGATAAATGTTTTAATAATATACTATACTTGCATTAAACATTGATAATTTTACTCTTGATGAAACTCAGTCTGAACAAGTTAGGCACCAAGTTAGGATCAGATAACACTTTAAAGTTGATTTATACCCCATCAACCCCAAAGAAAGAGGATTCAATCATTTGTTATATTTGATTAAATATATTGTAATTACAATATTATTGTGATATTATTATGTATGGATTATTAACGGGCGCATGAATGAATGAATCGGTAAGTGAAAGTCAAATATACATATGCATAGTATATAGTTAAAGAGAGCCTCCCTCTGAGGGGACATTTGCTGTAAGGGTATTGATCCCAGAGCCCCCATCCTGGTAGTTAACAAGTATTGATCACGAGTGTGTCTAACTTTTAATGTCTTTCACGGGTGCGTAGAATGAGTGAATTATTACAAAACGTTACCCAAGAGAGTGAAAACCTACACAAATGTTTTAATCTATTGCATTTTAGTTTGCTATAAAACCTATCCGAAACGCATCATACCACGAACTTAAATTAAATCTGATGTGTCAAGCTTACAAATCTTAAAGAGGGTATTTTCACTCCTATAGTAATACTCGTCAAAATATAGTTCCAAATGCAAAAGAAATAACAAATAAAATAACAAATAAATTAACATCTAAACTAAAAGTATTTTTTTTTAATTACTCTTGTTGAAAAAGTTAATTTCTATGATTTCTTTGAACTGAAAAATGAAATAGATAGATGAAAAAATCCAACTTACATTACTAGGTGATTTTGACTTGTCAGCTGATAAAAATGGCGATTGCGTGAATGGACTTGAAACACGTGACATGTACAATGGGATGAATGATGCATCACAGTAGATACAGGACACAGTAAGATTGGTTTTTCTTCTGCCTACATGATATGTCACTGTCAGAGAAAATCGAGTTCTTTTTCTTTGCGGCTGGTAAGGGAGACGATGTTGTTAGGTGAGTTTGTGTTTAATGACTGATAAGTTCGGACTGCAGTTGGAAATATCTATTTGCGGCTGGTAGGAGACGACGTTGTTCAAAGTCTTATGTTTAATTAAGCATTTAACAGCATTTTGTTCTGTGTTATAGTACCATAACATGGAACACACTTCCGTTTTATGCTTATATTTACTTTTTCATGATTTTAATTTTCATATCTAATTTCACAACGCACTTTTAAATTCAAATTCCATGGTGTTTGTTCAAGAAGTAGTACAGCCAATGGAATTGCTCACGGAATGTTGTCTCGTGACTTTCCCCGTAAAATATAGTTCGTGGAAATATACACAAGAGCATCGATACAATTGCAACAATTTAATAAATCAATATATCAAAAACGGTCGATATTATTGAATCATAGTGTTTTTTTTGCTTATCCGCTTGCTAGTGCGGAGGGGAATAGCGATCCGGTAGTTAGTCCGACCCGTGGAGATATCACTACGCCAGTATTATGGTCTCATAACACAGAACAACTGGCTTTTGTAGGGTTATATCGTGGCAATGTAGAGCAAATGTAAATATTGACTGATAATTTCAGACTGCAGTTGGAACGGGCTCGAGAACAAGCGTCATAGCATTTTCTAGCAGGATAGTGGTAGACAACAGTACTTACCCTTATTTTGCTGATATTACATATATTCACTTCGTTTTAAATTGAGCTAACAATAGGTATTAAAAAGACAGCATATACAGTCACTAAGACTGTATTTTGCTTTCGATTGCTAAAGCAGACTGCATATTGTTCTAAAAGAGACGGGAGGTAATTAACAAAAGTAAGCTTCTTCATGATCAAGAATATTTTTCGTAGTTTGTTTTGGTGCTTTATGAAATAGTATTATCTTTCACTAAGTGATTGTTTTTTTTCAAATGTCTCACTGCGGTTAATAATAATAATAAATAACATTTATATTTTTGCCACTGCTGTTAAAAGTAACATATCTTTTATTATATTCATAATTGTGTTTATTTCACTGCTGAAGGTGTCTTGAATCTCCGTGTGATGAACATGTTAAAACATTGAAAACCAACCAATCTTGTTGATTCAACAATAATGTATCCTTAAAGATCTTTTGTATATCATCGGGAGTTCCTTCAAAGGTTTGATATTGATTGAAAACGGGTCGTATGCTGAACAAATGGATTCGCATTTGTATTACATACGTTTGCTTTTTGCTACCAAACTCATACTGTGTAACAAGAAAAATCAACACAATCACTTTACTAAAAGCAATCCAACTTTATTAGTTATACAAACAGTTTAGTACAGGGTATTTTCAATGGTTAACATAAACAATAATAACATATCGGTATACAATACCTATGTTTGTGTACAGTATTCCAAGGATTCATAGAAATTCATACAAAATTGAACAATAAAAAATCGAGGTTTATATTTACCAGTACGACAGAGGCATCTACCGGTACACACAGAGGGTAACAGGGCCGAATGTATGCCATTGAGATGATGCAGGGGATATCTCCACTATTGTATGGTGGAATATTGATATATTGAGGGACATCGTAAACAAAAATAAAATACGTTTCTATAAATCAACGATTGCACGTGTTTGATGTGAAATGATGCCATACTTTAGTCGTAGTAATAGACAATCAATTTTAATATTGATTTTTGTTTCAATATATTTGACAGATTATTCAGAAATTCTGGTACACGTGGTACTTTTTGTGTTTGATATTTCATATGATAAATTAAAGAGAATCGCCTTTGCATGGTATTTCATTTCCGCTAAAATGATGTAACGGTATTTCATTTCTGTCAGAGAAAAACAGTTGTTCTGCGCAAATAACGAAATCAATCAGAGAATAGAGCTACATGGTTGGTCTTTTGGACATTGGGCAATTAATACGTGACTGATCTTAATTGAAGCTCTAAGGTAAGATTTAAATATAAAACTCTAAAAATATTGCGCAATGTTTCTAAATACGGATATGTAAACTACGTACGCAGACATATATTTTCAATTACATATGAGGAATACTTATATGAATTGCTTTCACGAAAGGTAAATCAGTTGCCAGAAATTACAATTTATTAAGTTCTTATCTTGCTTGAACCACGCTTATGATCAAATTATTGATTCAATTTTACTGGATTGAATTGGAACCAAAGATATACATACACATGTATACAATCATGCTAACATCTGATAAGCAATGATAAACTGTGGTCAGTACAACAATACCATTTTCTTCATTTGAAGATTGTGTGCTTAGACGTAATTTATTATGTGTATTATCTATGAGGTATTTAAAAATACGTATTTTTTTCGATACGCATATAACACGTTTTATTAGCAAGTAGAAAGGTCAAAATCCTTTTTATCTTTAATTTGATGAATATTTTCACTGGGCATTTTTAATGGCGTCTTCGCACATTGATTCTTACGGAACTCGCAACTAGCATAGAGACAACTTTTTTACTCGGGCGGAAATAAAAAAAATGTGTATCACGATTTTCTTAATAATCACATGGTGCAGTAACATGAAACAGTTTACCGTTTGTTGCTTATTTGGAAAATTAATCATTACTCACTCGGGCTATGCCCTCGTGAAACATTATTAATTACAGGGAAAAAAATATTCGTGTTTCCCCATCAGAAGGACAATACATGTATATTGTTCAGTAGGTGTATTGTCTACATTAGACATTTTAGATAGTAAATGCTTGTTTGAAATAACAGAAAAAAGGTAGAATTTTATTCTTCTGGTTTAAGCTTCTTATCTAATCCTTATTACACACATACGACTTACACGTAACAAGCCCCTATGTAGCAAAATGCAACATTTGTCAGGTATCTTATAACATTAAAGGAGATAAATCGAATGTAAATCGAAGGTGTAAGGTTGCATACACCCTTAACGTATTTTTCTGGCTAAGGTAGATGCATGTGTCTTAATGAACACCACTGAAAAGCAATATAAGCAAAACACACAGTAGAAGTTTCTCCAATTTTGCAATGTTTTTAATATGACCAGAGGCCTTTTAAGAAACGTAACTATGTTGATGAAAGATGCCAGAAGCAGAGCTCAGATGAAATCGTCCCGCTACCATATCACGTGACAGTGCATACCGTGGTACAACTGTATTTAATGTTATCATAAAAATAACAAATGTCTCTAAAGCAGATATCAAAAGTTACAAAAATTATATTACATTATCTAGATCCTCAATTACATTAGCTTCATTCTCGTTTATGTATATACACAGAATACTCATCATACACAAAGGTCAACTGGAGAACGCTGACCTTGAATTTAGTAAGTTCAATATCAAAGGTCAACTTTAATCGGTTAACCTTGATCTAAGCCCTGAACAGTCACATAGGGAGAACGATGACTGTGTTCTAATGGTATTAATTTTATTGTTTGTCTTATGTCTTTCCCGCGTGCAGGTTCAGTATGAAACCTGCATGAACGCATTTTCACATCTTTCTGACAGTTATGATACTGTGTATGCACGTATAATGTTAAACAATATGCACTTTGTTTCTCACTTAGACAAGCACTACTCGAGGTATCAGATAGAAACACTGAACACTCTTATGTGATATATATGTATAAATTAAGTCGCCATAAGAATAAATGTACGTGACTAATACATTGCTTTATAAACGAAAGGTAAGATGTTCCAGACAAAAGACTGTTACACGAAAAAATAAAGCATTGCAAACATTCATGCCGACATCATAAAGGTAAATGGTACTTTATACATGTATCGTCAATAAGTAGCGGCAGGAATGGTTCAAATCCAGACTGTAAAAATGTAGCAATCATTTCACAAACAGACGTAGTTTGTACACTTTATTTTGTTATTAACGAAAATTGTTCCGTAGAGAATAAGTATGCTTGGAATACTATTGTAATGTCGAACTTTCACGCACGAAAATGAACTGAAATGCTCATTTGGAATCTTTGATTCGTTTGCAGGTTGATGTCCTTCATCAAAACTGTACAAAAGTACAGATGAAAAAAGAATTGTGATCCGAGTAGGATACAGTTCACAAGACCAGGTGTTAGCATGGGGTTTGTCATTTACTGGAAAACAGCTGCATCTGTTGATCATAGAAAAAAACAATATTTCCATAAACATAATTCACCATGGAAACTTTTATAAACATGATTCTATAGAATGATTTGGAAACAACACATTATTCATTAAAAAGTAGTCATTCATATTTTTTATCAGACACTGCTGTTGAAATGTTGGACTTAACTAGGGTCAAAAACAAATGCTCTGTCATCATAAAAGATTGATAAAATTGGGATACAATTTAGATGAATAGGCTTTATACAAGACAAATATTGGTAACTCGTTATTCTTTACATTATGATAAATTGATGTTCATTGCATGTTTTGATATAATCCCTGTGCCAAATACGTCACTGCCACTAACAAACAAAATGACTTTCGCTTATTTTTATTCCCCAAAAAACTAAACATTAATTTTCATCTGTTTAACCTACTAATAAAATAATGAAAACATTATTTCCTGAATAGATAAATTGGAAAAAGATAAACTTCGCTTACCACACTTTCTCCTAGCGCCTGGAAACTTGCTCGTCTTTGTCCCCCTTTGTTATCCCCAAACCCTAATAAACTTCCACGGCTGTTCTTTCCCTCGAACTCCTGCAAGAACAGGAAGAACCGGATGGAGAAAACCATACAAGAGATAAGAACAAAGGAACAGATATGAAATACATACGACATGTCCCAGTCAGTCCTTTCGTTGAAGTGGCAGGTCGTGACCGAGTTGAAAGCTGCGTCTGCTATGGAACGAATGTGATTATTTCATGATGGTACAATTACAGCGCCACTTGATATATATATATGTAATGTTAACCATTGTCAGTATTGAAGAGATTTGCCAGAAAATGATGAAGTTCAGATGATCTTTAATATATTTAAACAGTTTATTGAATTACATTTTACTCTGAATAAAACAAAATCAAGCTCCATCTTGTAATTAGTGTCAATATTATCCTCGCTTTTTAACAAATAATACGAATCGTTGAAAAATAGTTGATCTCATTAAAGATCAACACCAAGATGATTCCATTTATGATCAAAACCAGGGTTGATCCCATCGAAGATTTAAACCAATGATATGAATACACCTAAAAGTTTAACTGTTTTTACTGAGAAACCACCACCTATAAATGAGGATGTACGAAAAACGCTATTAAGAATCGTAGGGCATTTCCATCTCAAGATATGGACCTAAAAAGGGAGATATATTTGATAACAAGACTGGAGGTTAAATGAACAATAGACATTTTTTATTAACTCATACAGTTTTCACAATAGATAATTCGCGTAAATCTAGTCAAAAACGTTTTAATATGAAATAGAAAAATATGGTAATACTATAATTACAAAATGTGTTTAATCGTTGTTATCTGTTTGTAGACAGGAAAAATATACAAATATATATGATATTCAAACGATTATCAAATGAATAGATAAATGTATGAGTTATGACCAATTTCATAGCCATTGCCAATTCATAGCAGAATGATAATTGAGGCGCGCGCTTTCCCAATGTCTAAAGTGTGCATTGGCCTATAAATAAATGAGAAAAAGAGAGAAAAGTAAAAATGCAAGTAAAGAAGTGCAGTGCATTGTGAGAAAATGCTAAAATAGAAAAGGAAAAACAAGAAATGAAAGCATACGAAATAAAGTCTGAAATAAATAATAGCATTTGTCAAATATCTGTTTATTCTTACTCATCTTTAATCTATTCTTTTGAATAATTTAAAGTTACATACAATTCTATATAATAAAAAAACGTGTTTGTTTACGATGTTTTTCACATTGATTCACAATAATAATTAACAACATGAAAACATTGCATTATCGTTGAAGCTTGCATCGGAATATATCACATTTAAAGTAGTAATTACAGGTTTACTTAAACAATGCTGGGTGGCATGCATGGGTACAGTTTGTCCTAAATCCAAGCTTTCACTTCTAAATGCTGATTTATGCGCTAAGCAAGATAATTTCATGCAAACAATAACTGTAATATTCGCTGTTCTTCTAGATGCTATGGAATAAAATATATTTCTGTAGATTTTGAAAATTGAAAATGAAATGAACAAAACAAAAATGTTTTGATAACGATATATTACACGTTTTTATGTTACAATCAGATTGATTACAAAGATTGTAAACATGTTGTCTGAAACGTTTTCGATCGTTCTATTTTAATCAAAGTTCTCCATACAGAGAGCAAATCATTTAAATGTGTCATATGTTCATTACAGAAATATAAAAAAAGCTCTTTATATGGTAGTCGTGATTCGATCTCTGATAAAACATGCGTATTGTTAAAATCAAACTAAGATATAACAGGGAGTGCAGCAGACACGTGCGTTAATATACAGAGCAAAACAAAGCTAGGGCAAGGAGTGAGCTTATCATCCCTATGTAATATAGAGCAGATAATAAACGTTTTCGTATAACATGTAGATTTCCCCCTGTGTTGGGTAGGTTTAACAACATGAATATCTCGTCCTATGAACGAGTACTAAAAGATATCGTCCCTATTTATGATAGGACACAATTATGACATCCTCGGTATGTAGGGTACTTTAGGTACCAGCTATCATATCGTCACTATGTGGGATAGAGCAAGTAACAAAATATCTTGTCCTTATATAGGATACTTTAGGTGACGATTTGCATATAGTCTCTAAGTAGCATAGTGCAAGTAACGAAATAGTGATATCGTCCTTATATAGGATACTTTAGGTGACGATTTGCATATGGTCTCTAAGAAGGATAGTGCAAGTAACGAAATGGTGATAAGGTCCTTATGCAAGATACTTGCGGTAGGTACCGTACATACCACTTCAAAAGATAACATTGGAAACAATCATTAAATCGTTTCAGTGCTAAATCGTTTCAACGAGGATGAAGTAAGCAACGAAATGGCGATACTGGTCCTATGTGAAATACAGTAAATGGCGAAGTAAAATTATCGTTCAAAGGGTACAATGCTGTTAGTAACTAATTTTGGACGAGGAGTGAGACGTTATTCTATCGAATGATTCGGTAAAAAGCCGGGGAGGGGTCTAATGCTACTTTATACGGTAAGTAACAAAGCCGGGGAGAGGTCTGATGCTACTTCATACGGTAAGTAACAAAGCCGGGGAGAGGTTTGATGCTATTTGATACGGTAAGTTACAAAGCCGGGAAGAGGTCTGATGCTACTTTATACGGTAAGTAACAAAGCCGGGATGAGGTTTGCTGCTACTTTATACGGTAAGTAACAAAGTCGGGATGAGGTTTGATGCTTTTTGATACGGTAAGTTACAAAACCGGGAACGAATATGTTACTATGATATACAGTAAGTAACAAAGCCGGATTGAGTCTGATACTATTTTCCTTAAAAACATGTTTGTGCCTGAGTATTTAATCAGCGATATGTTGCAGTTGCCTTATTTTATTTATTAATAATGGATAAATCCTTACCAAACAAAATGTGAAGTAGAATTGAACAAATCTAACTATGGCAGTCTTGTAAAACAGCTGTCTGAGCGCAGATATATAATGAAACAAAATTGCCTGAGAGTATCAGTATAATTGATCGGGTCTCTTTTCGGCAGAGAAATTATTTGAGATGAAAAAAACACCCGATATATTCTCTAGATTTATCCAGATAAAGAACAAATCTAATGTATAGCTATACAGCACCAATCTATGATCTAGATTTATACGGATATAGAACAAATCTAGTATCTAGATATACAGAGCCATTCTTTACTCTAGATTTATCCAGATATAGAGCAAATCTAGTATCTAGATATACAGAACCAGTCTTTACTCTAGATTTATCCAGATATAAAGCAAATCTAGTATCTAGATATAAAAAAACAATCTTTTCTCTAGATTTATACGATATAGAGCATATCTAGTGTCTAGATATACTGAACCAATCTATTCTCTAGATTTATCCGGATATAGACCAAATCTAGTGTCTAAATATACAGAACCAATCTATTCTCTAGATTTATCCGGCTATAGAACAAATCTGGTGTCTAGATATACAGAACCAATCTATTCTCTAGATTTATCAAGATATTAGAACCAGTCTACGCTGTAGATATGCAGAGCCAATGCATTCTTTAGAGACATTCGGATACATAACATATCCGTTATCTAGATACATTCGGATACATAACATATCTGTTATCTAAATACATTCGGATACATAACCTATCTGTTATCTAGATACATTCGGATCCATAACCTATCTGTTATCTAGATACATTCGGATACATAACCTATCTGTTATCTAGATACATTCGAACATACAGAATCAATCTAGTCTCTAGATTTATCCAGATATAGAACCAAACTAGGCTCCAGACACATTCAAATACTGAACCAACCTATCATTTAGAAATTTTCTAATACAAGACCAATCTAGACTCTAGATATTAACATCACCTTGTAATAACTAATACAGCTATATAGTACGCTATGATAGTAATACTGTTACGATACTTATAATACTAGCAATTTCATAATTATGTTTATAGCACTAACAATACGAATAAGGATATAATATGATAGCTAGCATTTATAATACTAATATGTAGCATTCCAGTCAATGCAGAACTATATGTATTTAGTTACCACACACCGTATGTACACGTATGCTATAAACACATACATACTCTGGAGGCTAAATCCATAAATGCAGAGTAAACGCAATCCTATCCCATTTGACCATTTTAGTTATATATACATTTTAAGGATTTCCCCAGTAAAAATCCTCCCGCAAACACTAAGGAAATCTGACAAAAAGCATTACAGAAAATTGACTTGAAAGTTGCAGTTTCTCTGTAGTTATGGTATGTACTATATCTTAATAGTCTCTTACACACCGACCATGTCGACAGTACGACATTCACAACACATGCTTAATATGGTCTAGATCGGTATGTAAAAGATAGATATCTTAGACTCACAGTGTCGAACCCATTTTACCAACAGACAGGAAACTTGCGTTTTCATTCCTGAGCAATAAAAACCGTTATGTATTTATACACGCCCTCCTTACGCGTGTTAAGGAAAGTATCTTAGACATTCACTGGTAACATAGGGTTCGACCACAACTATGGCTATATCAGTGGTACATATCACAACAGATCTATGTTCTGGAAAAATGCGGGGGAGGAATGATAAATGTATAAATATAATATATGAGATATACTTTGAGTTATAAAGAAACACGAAATTGGTTATAGGAAATCTTACATGGAGGTAGGGTAACCGAGGAAGGAACAACTATTCATTCCAGGAAGTTGTCTGAATATTTTTATATAAAGACGAAACACTGCAAAGATGCCAGGGTAAAATAGTTGCATTGTCAGGCAAGCGTGTCCAACTTACGGGCGTGACGAAAGGACCAGCACTTGTGCGGCGCTGTCGGGGGTCAGTATAACCATAGGAATCGTCGTCAAAACCACCTAGGGGGAAAATTCCAAGACTATGTGTGCTCGTTTTGCGGGGCTTCTCACCACCCTCGCCGAACATACTTATTGGTAATATGCCAACACTATGGGTGCTGGGGCGGCGCGGTTTTTCAGTGGAGGATCTCCGGGAGGAGTCAGAAGACCCGCGGCGATACTCTCCGAACCAACTTACAGGCAGGGTGAACTGGCCGAGGCTCTGCGTGCTCGGACGTCTAGGGCGATCCGAGCAAGGACTTTCGTCCGAGATGAGGCTAATTCCTGGTGTCCCTCCTGCTGGCGGGATCAAACTGAACCGACGTTGGTTTTCTTTTTCTGTGCTCAGGGATATTTTATCGTCCTGTAAGTAAGAAATATCGCAAATGTTATAACGTGGTTATCGCAAATCGCATTATTTACAGGAGATGAGTACCGAGTTGTGAATAAACATATACATGTTCATGCTGTGAAATGTCAATGATTGAAGCATTAACTAATTTAATATATGAAATGAATAATATAGTAACTAAATCGCACTCTTTATACTTGATCGTTTTCGCGGTTGTGCTATTTTCGAACTGAAACAAATCCGTGAAGATAGCATTAGCGCGACCAGTTTAAGTCAGGTAAATCATCTCAACACGTTAAATTTCACAGCGTCTATTTCAACTTTCCACATACATCCAAAAAGATATGTACATGTAGCCGAAACAGTTAACAGTATTCGCTAAATTGTAGAACATAGTCAACGTAAGGTAAACAGCACTATACTTAATATCATTTGTTTTATTTAAGTTAATTCACCTTCGCCAACAAACTTGAAGTAGATCCTTATCATTCAGGTCCTATTAGTGAATTGAAAATAACGATAATCTTTCCATCAATGATTGATTGATTTTTTTTCACACTCTAAAAGATCTAAATTCCAATTCGTCATAACTAGTAATATTATGAAACAATAGAGTTGTTGCTCCATAATCAGGTAAAGGACCGTTCTACATATGGGTATTGATGGATAATTTGTGTGTTGTATAACATATCGATATTTACGCACGGCTATTCACAATATACACATTATAACCCGTAGATTAATATAGAAACATACGATACATGTGAAAATAAGTTTATGACTATAGTTATATATCAATGTGGTATAAATTGATTCCACCTCGTTGTACTATAATTGTGATGTATATGCCTCTCTCCGTTTTCATTCATTGGTGCAAGCAGGTTGAAACTGTCGATACGATTTAACCATTTGTATTGGATACTTCTGTTGTATGATCATATGGTTAAATACTATGTTCAACCCCTGGATACAATTGCTGTAAAACTTAAATCTATGTTAACCGTTTGGTACCATATTTCCCGATCTCGATACATTTGCTCTTTGACTTGAACCTCTGATATCCATTTTATACTTCATCGTTAAACCCCATATTCACCCATGTATATTTCTGCTCTGTATACATCAGCTTTATCACTTATTACTATGTTCACGTGTTGGGTACATGGGTTCTACCCCCATTGCATGATCGTAAGAGGCGACTAAATTTGGGATCTTATCTAATGTCTCCCTTGACAATGCCTCATTTTTGGCGTTTTGTTGAGCGTTCGCCCCTGTGAGGAAGGCTTTGGGTTCTGTCCCCTGGCCGAGACATACCCGAGTCTGTAAAAACGATAGTTTCTACTCCTGCTTAATGCTAAGCAATTTAGGAGTGGGACGACTGGTTCGCCCGTTGTCAGTATAATGTGACCGGGTGGAGTGTCCGGCTGGGTGTCTTCGGCAGTGTGTTTAATTGAGGTAGCACTATAAAGTCGGCATTAGTTCCGCGCTATCACAAGGAGACAAACACGAACATATCACAGCCTCCCAAAACACACACGCATACACTACACGCATGCATCTTGCACAAAGGGGGAGGGGGCCTTCCTTAAATGACCATAGCTGTTGATAGGACGTTAAACAGTACTAAACCAAACCGGGAGTCACACGTATTCCCTCTATGCAATCACAGATTTATAATTACATATGATATCATCAGATTGTTAATCTTACATGCACTGAAGACCGTCGAAAACATGTTAACCGGTTGATTCAAAGATGTCGATATACTACACAATTAATATATAGTCGTTCTAGGATGTCAAACATGCGGTTATGTTTTGTATCATATTAAATACTTTACCATTGTAAACAGGAGTTATTATAATTCTACAATAACTACAACATGTTTAGCTAATAATACACACATATATGGTACCTAGTTTATGCCTTCTTATTCCATGTTTCATCAACAGGTTTAAAATTCTTATAATGAATTCTTCTCTTCATCTTCAGGTATGACGATTATACCTTTTTGTCATTTTTCATCCCCCCCCCCCCCCCCCCCCTCGAAAAGAGAACCACGCTGTAATGATATTTAACAGTGAGTGATATTTACTAGATACCGTTGCTAAACAATACTATGAAAGAGAGTGATATTGGCTGGGAGTGTGACGTTAAAACATGTAACGTAGTTATGTGACAATCAGGTTAACGACGTCTCGGTTTACTAAAGCCTGAATTTTCCCCTCAGATACATACCACAGTAAATTTATCATATACACGTTAACATTATTATACATTTATAATTTATCATCGCCATTCTGCTCTCACGAAATACAACACATTTCATTGGAAATGCACTTTATATTTAAACAAGATATTTGGAACTACCTTGAAATGCTTTCCTAGTTAAAATATTTCGTGTTTCCTTCCTTCGATCATTTCGAAATTAGCATTACGATTTGCTTATACAAAATGCTAGCTTACTTTCATGTGCTGCATATCAGGGCTGTTTGGAGCTGCAAAATTGAAAATATTACGTCAGGATGTTGTGAACTAATCCAAATGATATATTCATTAAAAACAACTTGGAAAGATCATGCAAATGAACAAAAAATAGATATTTATGAAAAGTATTGCGAACTATCCATAGATTCTATTTTTATTTCATTATTCATCCATTAGTTATTTCATTATTTCTTTTTGCATTAGGAATACTTTGATCGATTCACTAACAAAAAAAATCGTTGTAAAGGAAATGTTTTAAGAGGCATTAGGTTTATATCAACATTGAAATATATTTTAGTTGTCATGGATATCCAGCTTTACTTATTTCCAGTATTTTAAATTATTGATAATAATAGAACCGTTTTCTCGAAATAATATATAAACTTATTAAGAAAGATACAGGAACAACCATGCTTTGTGAAGTAAGTGAACAGTGTACATGCATACTAAGTGAGTAGTGAATGAGTGCAATCCTTCGATTTAATCATCGCTCTATTCAGATATTTTTTTGGAAAAAATCACATAAAACTAATTAAATTACCATGTCTTTTTAAAAAAGTGCGTCAAGAAATATTTGAAAGAAAAATGATATTAATATATTTACAATTTGTGTACAAACGTGTGTTACAGCATTACGGTCAAAGAGTGTCATGGTCTGTGGCTTTACATTTAGAAAGTAGCAAGCTTAACGTCCACAAATTCATGCAACAAGATAAGCTGAGTGGAGCTGATAGCGAGATTAGGCAGTGGTTAGACGTTCAACCTGGGACAATATACTGTTTACCTGCATACGTCAGAGCTGCTATTTGTTCACGTGATCTGTCGTAACCAATCAGGGACAACTTGGACAGAGATTGTTCTACCGATGAAGAATGATAAAATTTCCAGGAGAACATATCTATTATATAGTTCCCGAAATTAGAAATGTTAACATAATATGACATAGTGCACAGATGTTTACGAAAAACATCGTGGATGAGACATGTTCATAATTAATCCGATTTTTATGTTTTGAAAGGACTGCGAGTGAGTGGTCTATAACATGGTATAGCTAAGCGATAAAGGCAAAATGTCTATGGGAAACATGTAAATATGATTATAATTTTCAGCATTCGGTTAATAAAAGAATCAATATCACTTGTAGCATGCATCATGCAACAACCTTACAGATACTTTTAAAAAGTTAAATATCTAAATTGCATATATTTTACTAGAAAATGTCCCTCGTTCGTTTACGTTCTTCTCTAGTCTCAGCACAAATTTACGATAAAACAGCAGAAAGTTGAATAATGAAAGGTGGGGCAAAGTCACAAATGACACAGCAGTATTGGATGAAGGTCCAGCAATGTACAACGTAAAACAGCAAATGTTGGTTAAAGGATGTATAAAAAATAGACAAAAGATCGAAGCGTTACCTGTACGACTTTTTGACATTCCACTGTTTTCGACAGTCAAAAAGATGCGAGACGACGAGGACGTGCCTACTTTGTCGTCTTTTGTCTTACCATCAATCAGTGGCATGCATATAGACCCCCTACAACAAAAAAAGTATACAGGATGAATCATTGTTAAGGAAACAATAAAACCTGTTTATCAATTAATTATGTTATACCTCGATATAATAAACATTATCATTTGCCACCTTGTTTACCTCTAACATTTTCCATTTTTTTTCCTTAACAATTCCTTTTTTCCCCCTTCTATTCTTTGCCAAATCCATTTATAACGCCAAAATGTTTTGGACAAAGTGTAGAAGTATATCGAGTTTTTGTACTGTGCTTATTTAATAGTATTTCATGGTATCATTAGTGGAGCGTTCTGTTAATAGCAATAACGTAATGATGTGTAGATGTTATCGAGGAATCTTATCCTCACCCCTGCTTCTTTTATGTTGTATATAAGGCCTGTGATATAACATTTAACGCTGATATAATTGTTAAAAATTAATTGTTCAAGTATACATTTAATTATATAAAAATGTATATATATATCAAGCTATGTAAATGTACTTGTTTGCATCATCTTTATTTATCCTCCCTTTAAAAACATATCCAAGACCAAGATCATTAGCATACAGATTTTTGATACATTGCTATATTTTTAAAAAACAATTTAAGAAACGAGTTGAAATCATTGAATTATCCAAGACAATTTACAATGCTGGAACACACCTTTTCGGTATTGGTACAGCTGATGTTTCCTCCTGCATCTTATTCCGACGTTTTCTATCTATTTGTTCCAGCATCTCTCTCAGGACTTCCATTAACGCACCAAACTGGAAAGGTAGGACATGGCAATGTGATGTCAAATCTAAATAACATGTATTACCTATAAATGTAATTTATGTAATTAATTTTAACGATAACAGAAAAAATGTTAAGTTAGTGTTAAGTATTGCGTGTTTGAAATATATATAGAAGATTGTCTTGGTTCTTGATCAATATGACGTTCCTCTCGTTTGGAATACGTATTAATTTAAACATGTTTTCTATTACAACTACTTTATCAAATATATTTTCATTATGAAACGTTGGTTAAAATATAGCCATTAAAACGACCTTTCTGTTTTCCCTCTAATATGGTGGGTACTTTTCAAATTGTTTATTAACTCATGTTACGCTTCGATTTATGCTGATAATATTGTCAATCGTATTAAGCACGGTTTACATTATAGAGAAATGATGTATAAACGATTCAACGTTTCCTCAATTCAATTATCAGCACGTAGATATCAAGTATTACATAACATAATATACAGATATTTAAATTATTACCCGGTATCGATTAATCAATCATAGGTCAACGCAAGTTAACCATTAATTAGAGGAGTTGCTGAAATTCAAATTAGAAAAATGTGTTTGTGCAAATCAATAATGTATGTTCGCTTCCTACAGTACAAAATTGTGCGTGGAATCAATAAGAAAAACTATGGAAAAGAACTGGAAATCTTCAAAAAGTGATGCATATGTTTGACAAATAACAGCTGGGCAGTGACAAATTAAATATTGTATTGATAACTAACCTTTTCCATACTAAGGCCAGGGTTGACAGTGTGCGGAATGAGGGGAGGCATCACCTTTGTTGCTATTAGATTATGGGTGAGGCCAAATTTTTTGTCACTTAACATGTGCTTATAAATACCTGTTAAAATAAAGCAATGTATCATAGGCTATACAATCAGCAACAATGTGGTCAAAAATATTTGGGGTACATTTTAAAAGGAAATATTATATTTTTTTCTAAATTATACATATTGTAGAAAGTGATATACTTTATATTTCTTTTCAACTTGAAAAAAAATTGCCTGTGATAAAAAGAGAAGTTAAAAACAAAATTAAATCAATAGATAAACAAATAAAAAAATACATAAATATACTACAAAGCAAAGATACAATAAACAATCTGTACGAGATTTTAATTGGTGTCAGGATGATATATTTGAGATAATTTATAAAAGAAATTTCGAACTTTCCTATAACTATTGTGTCCAGTATGATTGGCTTATTAACTTATTTGGATAGCAACAAGATAAAGTGTTTACATTATTCTGACCATGCAACCTCAATTGAGTAATACGTTGGTCACAATTAAGCAGAAAATATGAACATGCATATTGCGACAGAAAATTATCCCTTAAAGATCCTAGACAGAACTAAAACAATCAGCCATGCAGCTTATGATACTAACCAACAACTGCCATGACTATGTCGGGGTCATGACCTGTGATATCTGTAAGAAAGGGCAAGACCTCGTCCAGAATGATCATCTTGTTGAGACTGTCTAGTAAGTAATCTATGCAAGATAACGCATTCAGCTTCACCTGTAAATAACAGGGGGAATTATAGAAAGGGGGAATTAAGCAAAAAAGGACATAACATCATTTAAGCAAAAAAGGACATAACATCATTTAATTTTGTTGAGAACATGACAAATTTAATCTATTTTGGGATGTCTTGTCATTAAAAATGAGTCTTTTTTTGTATTCTCTCGTATGAAGCTTTTTATGTAAAACAAACCTGATGCGTTGAATAAGGAATGAACATAACAAAATGCATGGGTGGGTAAGCTATATTAGACATATAGATAAGCATCAATAAGTTAATATCAGATCACGTCCTGAGTATCCTGGTACTTTTCAACTGTAAACCAGAAGGTAGTAAATGCAGATTTCATGCAATGAAGACGGTTGCATGCATTTTAGTATTTTGAAAAATTAATAATAAAATAAAATTTTGAATTAAAACCAGCTTAAAAAAATACCAAAAATACGATAAATCAGGCCTTAAATGATTTAAATAGTTAACATAGATTATCTGCACTGATTACAGTAGCCGCAAACATTACTATTGAGGAACACACCGTATATCTTAGTATAAATGTATGCGGTGATAATTATGCCATTTTGATTGTAACATAGAATAAAATGTTCTACCTGACTTACCAGGGGTATACTTGTAAAGCATGGGTTGTACTTACCCTCACATTGCTCCCCTTATGGTAAAGCGCTTTTGCCCGAGGTAGCACCATATTTCTCATCACACCATCATCCAAGTACTCTTTGATAATACCAATTGCATTTAAAGCTGCCTCCTTTAATAATAATAATAAAAGTCAAAGACATAAAAAAAGCCATAGATGAAATACAATCTGAAACGTTTAAGTCATAAACAACCGTTTCATGACCAATACAACAGGTAAGCCACGTCATATTTTTCAGAATATTCAGTGTCAGTTAAAGAAAAAAGAAAATATGCAATTGGTTACATTATGACTTTTGTAACAGAATGGGAAATAAAATCGACGAATTAGGAAAATTACTTCCTTTAAATTGATGAATGTACAACAAGATATATTGTAGTGTGATGCTTTTATTAGCTGTATTTTCACATGTGGCCTTCAGGACGAATATTGAGTTAAGATAAAAAAAACTTTTTTCTCTTTTTAGAACATCAACCTTCATTACGTTATTGGATGTGAAATATGTGACGCGGGAATGACTTCATGGCTGCTAAAACATAATTAAATGTCGTCCCACTGACCTTCTTTACAGTCAAAGGTCTACAGTGACGATTTAAAGCATTCTCTGTACAGTCTCATCAGTGTATAAGTCACTTACGGGATGACATTTGACATGTGAGCTTAACCCAATAGTTGACAGCTGTATAGACTCAAGATTGCTATGCAAATTCTTTGAAGTTTACCAAAGAACTCATCTTTGCTACTCATCTATGCCCATAAGTGTACCTACATATGTAGATGTTTTGTTTTTAATACTCTTGTTCGCGATAGAGGACATGCAATTTCTTGGATTTGACCTATATTTACATTGCGGTCGTCATCTATGAAACAAAAGGCGCTTAACCTTCTGGGGCATCTAGTCTTATTCTCCTTGCATTTCAATAGCCTCCAAGTTAATTTATCTTTTGTTCATATTTGACCACGTCTATATAAGGGTATTCTTATTCTCTGTATTAATGTATAACTTCTTCAAATGGACCAAATAAGCACTCCAAGTTGTCCTCATGTATCACCCAAGACAACTGAACTCGTATGGAATCATGTCAAACTTAGAATAGAATTATTAACTATATTTGTACCTGTGCTTGTAGTGAGTTTGACTCCAAGCTGTTGAAGACAAAAGGTAATACCTCCGACCGTATCTCATCTGCTGGACTTTTCATCAGCACCGTGTCCAGCTTATCGAGTATGTACACTGTCGCCTGCAAAGCAAAGAAAGAACAACTTCTATCATTTATCATTGCATTGGACACCTACGCTGTTGCTGTATTTGTCTGAGGTTTTTTTCTCGAAAGAAATGCCAAAATATTTGATTTGTAGAAATTCCATTCATCTATGTTCAGCAAACCCTCTTAAAGATGGTTTAGTCATCCAAAATGTCAACCTCCTGATAAGTCATATTCAAATACTCCGATTGAACATCAGAACTTACACATGCAGTTTGAAAATAATGAACTTTTACATTATGTATTAAAACGTTACATAGCGAGGTTTACATAGTCAAAACTAAGGCATTAAGGTTGATGTCTTGTCATTCTCTTTAGCCACCAAGAGGAAAGCTATGAAACGGCATATTACTTAAAGTTCATTTATATACCTACGTCATGCGGGGCTTAATTTCTCCTCGATTAGCTATTAAGAGGCATACGAGCCTCAAATCAAAATAGATATTGCCATGTGAAAACAATTATAATATAGAAAAACCTTCCCGGGGGTATATATTTAAGCAGTTTTTAATTAAGTCAAGAAAGACGAAGTAACCGCGATAGATAAATGAACTTTTAATGATGTGACTTTTCATAACATTTTGTGATGTTACAAATGCGTTAGGCTTGATATAAACATTGTAACTGAAAAGTGATAATGTTTATAACATGTCTAGCTATTTAATAGCAATATCAATTGTTATGAAAGATACACTTTATATAAAGTTTGTATATATATTACGATCACAAGCTCTTTGTTTTACATTTTTGATACCGGAAAGATATGCTACTTAGACATTTTATCATAGTTTTTTGCATTCCCGAAGCCGCAATCATACTGTTGTGAGGCCGTTATTTCACTTCACGACTAGTAAAAGAGTGAATAAGCCATGCATGACGTAGGTGCATAAATGAACTAAAGATAATATGTTATTTCAATTTCGTAGCATTGGAATGCAAAAAAGATTTTGTAAGTCCAGGAAACTATTTTTAGGAAGACATCAGCCTTAATGCCTTATGAATGACTACGTTAACCTCTCTATGTGCTATTCTAATAGCTATACCATCTTTTAAGGGACTTGTTGAAACTTGATAAAAGCAACCATACATAGTGATTTTTTCTAACTTGAAGATTTCTTAAGATCGGAACATACCTGCACTGGCTTGGGCGAGTTCATGATGAGTCTGAAAAAGGGCAGGATCTTCTCCACGTATTCCTCCCGCGTGGCGAAGTCGATAAGGGTTAGCAAGGGAGATAATGCACTGGTGATTGTGTCGGCTGTTGAGCATTCAAGGCAAAGGGCGGGGAAGACATGGCGATATAATATTTTCTAAAGAAATGAAACGCATATATCAGAGGTAACTATAGGTGAGTGTATTTTCTTTCAGTTATTGCATTATTTCCAATGGAACCTCGTAAATCAGTGACTTTGGAAACTTAGATATTTGAGAAATGAACTAGTGCTTTCATCATGGGACTCGGAATGTTTAAAAACAATCCACTATATCTCTTAGTAATCGGACTCTTCAAAATTAAAAAGAATTTACAGGACTCGCCTGAAAATATTCTACAAAATTCATCAGTGTACGTGACTTACTCTTGTATAACTTCAGGTTGAATAGTTGCAGACTCTTCATGTTGCTGATGATGGATTTCATCGACCTAATATGTTGAGTAAGATTTGCTAGAAACGAATCACTTATACTTGCAATTGAGTTAAGAATCAAATCTTGTAAAACCAGTGATAAAACAAATCTATTTAGTATTTAGTAGATGATATACGTTTAATGGTTTTCTTACGTGTACTTACTTTCGGTATACTGGGGATGATTTGTGCTACAAACGAGTAAACTTCAGCTCTCTGGCAATACTCCATTATATCTATGTTATCTAATTGTTGTAAACCTCTCAGGATGGGATCGTTGAAATATTTTAACTGGAAAACAAATCATCGTAATATGAATAAGGTCAACAGCATGAATATATACACGTCAGATGTATACGTCTAGGACTACATGTTATCAAAGTAATAACAACTTTACCAATAAAGATGCTGAAAGTAAACAAATATCTTAATTTTTATCGACATAAATGTATTTTCCCATTTCGTGTCATCCTGTATATTATCCGAACACAAATTATGTGTTAAGCCTCTGAGGTAAACATGTCTGAATTTAAGTAGCATACAGTTTTCATGAAAACTTTATTTATTTTACCAGAATTATGAAACAAGTTATTTCAACTTATATTTATCACTCTTGTTAGCTGTGATGGAAGTGTGGCGAGGATCTTTATGTGTGAGGAAACCGAAGTACCCGGCAAAATCCGACAAAGTCTGGCACCCAATATCCTCTCGCTTCCCATCGGGGGCGTGGACAATTTTACAATCATTTACATGTTGTTAATATTACAATGTTCTTGTCATACATACCAAACAAAAAAACTGAGCTGTCGGGCGGTATCGGATATCCTTGTTGATCATCTTTTCTACCGGTTCTACAAGGGGAAGGGGCATCTTGTGGGCGACGTCACTAAACTTCTCCGGGATCTGCAAATATATAGTGTCAAATATTCTTGCACAAAAACAAATTGGCATGCGCTTCGTCATACAAAGGATAAAAAGATCGGATGTACTTCGATATATAAAAACAGTCCATTCATGATATGAGGTATTAATAAGTTTTGCATAAAATTCATTTTATGAAGCTGTTACCCAAGATATGTATAATATTTATTATAATAATCATCACATATTGATCTTATTCTAGATATACTTTACAACCTACCAGGACAAATACAATATCTCAGACAAACCAATCAGTTTTAATTCTTAAAGTTATTTTGTATAATAGATATGGTCTTTGGCATACCTTATAGGGGTAAAGTGATAAATATACTGTGAATGGTTAAAGTCATTTTTTTTAGATCATAGATGAACCTCTAAGTAGAAGACGAATGAAGATGTCGATGTAACGCTCAATAAACATCTAAACAAGTGGAAAAAATATATCGGTGTTCCACCACAATGCACATCTAAATAAATGTCGGCAGGAAAAGTAAGAGATCGGTGCCCCGCTTCAACACACATCTAAACAAATTTCTGATGAACGAAGAGATCTGTGTTTTGCCATAATACACATCTAAAGAAGTGAATGACGGAGGAAGATATCGGTGTTCTCCCATAACACACAGCTAAAAAAGTGACAAATGGAGGAAGAGATCGGTGTTCTGCCATAATATTCATCTAACGAAGTGACAAACGGAGGGAGATGCAGGTGTTCTGCCATAATACTCATCCAACGAAGTGACAAACAGAGGAAAAGTTAAGGGTTCTGCCATAATAAACATCTAAGAAGTGAGAAACGGAGGAAGAGTTAGGTGTTCTGCCATAATAAACATCTAAAGAAGTGACAAACGGAAGAAGAGTTAGGTGTTCTGCCATAATAAACATCTAAAGAAGTGACAAACGGAGGAAGAGTTAGGGGTTCTGCCATAATACTCATCAAAATAAGGAACAACCAGGTGAAGAGTTAGATATTCTGCCACAATACACATCTCAAGATGTGACAAACGGAGGAAGAGTTAGGGGTTCTGCCATAATACGTATCTAAAGAAGTAACAACCGGACGAATAGTTAGGTGTTCTGCCATAATACACATCTAAAGAAGGTACAGACGGAGGAAGAGTTATGTGTTCTGCCATAATACTCATCAAAATAAGGAACAACCAGGTAAAGAGTTGGATATTCTGCCATAATACACATCTAAAGAAGTGACAAACTGAGGAAGAGTTAGGTGTTCTGCCATAATACTCATCAAAATAAGGAACAACCAGGTGAAGAGTTAGATATTCTGCCACAATACACATCTCAAGATGTGACAAACGGAGGAAGAGTTAGGGGTTCTGCCATAATACTCATCAAAATAAGGAACAACCAGGTGAAGAGATAGATATTCTGCCATAATACACATCTCAAGATGTGACAAACGGAGGAAGAGTTAGGGGTTCTGCCATAATACTCATCAAAATAAGGAACAACCAGGTGAAGAGATAGATATTCTGCCATAATACACATCTCAAGATGTGACAAACGGAGGAAGAGTTAGGGGTTCTGCCATAATACTCATCAAAATAAGGAACAACCAGGTAAAGAGTTGGATATTCTGCCATAATACACATCTAAAGAAGTGACAAACGGAGGAAGAGTTAGGTGATCTGCCATAATACACATCTAAAGAAGGTACAGACGGAGGAAGAGTTAGGTGTTCTGCCATAATACACATCTAAAGAAGGGACAGACGGAGGAAGAGTTAGGTGTTCTGCCATAATACGGATCTAATTAAGTAACAACCGGATGAAGAGTTAGGTGTTCTGCCATAATACACATCTAAAGAAGGTACAGACGGAGGAAGAGTTAGGAGTTCTGCCATAATACACATCTAAAGAAGTGACAATCGGAGGAAGAGTTAGGTGTTCTGCCATAATACTCGTCAAAATAAGGAACAACCAGGTGAAGAGTTAGATATTCTGCCATAATACACATCTCAAGATGTGACAAACGGAGGAAGAGTTAGGGGTTCTGCCATAATACTCATCAAAATAAGGAACAACCAGGTAAAGAGTTGGATATTCTGCCATAATACACATCTAAAGAAGTGACAATCGGAGGAAGAGTTAGGTGTTCTGCCATAATACTCATCAAAATAAGGAACAACCAGGTGAAGAGTTAGATATTCTGCCACAATACACATCTCAAGATGTGACAAACGGAGGAAGAGTTAGGAGTTCTGCCATAATACACATCTAAAGAAGTGACAATCGGAGGAAGAGTTAGGTGTTCTGCCATAATACTCGTCAAAATAAGGAACAACCAGGTGAAGAGTTAGATATTCTGCCATAATACACATCTCAAGATGTGACAAACGGAGGAAGAGTTAGGTGTTCTGCCATAATACGTATCTAAAGAAGTAACAACCGGATGAAGAGTTAGGTGTTCTGCCATAATACACATCTAAAGAAGGTACAGACGGAGGAAGAGTTAGGTGTTCTGCCATAATACACATCTAAAGAAGTGACAAACGGAGGAAGAGTTAGGTGTTCTGCCATAATACACATCTAAAGAAGTGACAAACTGAGGAAGAGTTAGGTGTTCTGCCATAATACACATCTAAAGAAGTGACAAACCGAGGAAGAGTTAGGTGTTCTGCCATAATACACATCTAAAGAAGTGACAAACTGAGGAAGAGTTAGGTGTTCTGCCATAATACACATCTAAAGAAGTGACAAACCGAGGGAGAGTTATGTGTTCTGCCATAATAAACATCTAAAGAAGTGACAAACGGAGGAAGAGTTAGGTGTTCTGCCATAATAAACATCTAAAGAAGTGACAAACCGAGGGAGAGTTATGTGTTCTGCCATAATAAACATCTAAAGAAGTGACAAACTGAGGAAGAGTTAGGTGTTCTGCCATAATACTCATCAAAATAAGGAACAACCAGGTGAAGAGTTAGATATTCTGCCATAATACACATCTAAAGAAGTGACAAACGGAGGAAGAGTTAGGTGTTCTGCCATAATACTCATCAAAATAAGGAACAACCAGGTGAAGAGTTAGATATTCTGCCATAATACACATCTAAAGAAGTGACAAACGGAGGAAGAGTTAGGTGTTCTGCCATAATACTCATCAAACGAAGGGACAGACGAAGGGAAAGATAGGTGTTCTGTCATAATACTTATCTTAATAAGGGACAGATGGAGGAAGAGTTTGGTGTACTGCCATAATACACAGCTAAATTTGTGGCAAACAAACTGAGAAGGTGTTTCGCGCAATACACGTCTAGACAAGTGGCAGACGAACAAATAGATAGATGTCAAACGAACGAAGAGAACAGCGTTCTGCCATAATACACATCTAAGCAACTGGCAGAAGAAGGAGGATATCGATGTTACGTCTTACAAATATTTCCCTTTAAACACAGAAATCTTATATTTAATGCTACTGAACTGCGAAACGTACAATCGATTTTCGTTAACTCATTAGGCTCTTGCTAATTGTAAAACTGAGTCTTATTATTTGGGCGCTTATCTTTCAATTTGATATCATTCGAAGTTTTAATGTAAACAAATGCTTTACGCTTTTTATATTTCCGACCGTGATATAATTTTAAGAACCTGTATGTAAGGAAAAAAGGAAATGACAGAAGCATAAACTTTTTGTAAAAATAAATATATTATATTCACCCCCTATTATGTTTTGGACTTGTATGCGTTTTAAGAGTGTGTATGTTCGATAAGATTTATCAATCAATCAGTTTTCTAAATGTGATCTTTTTTTTTATATTGATAAGGCGCGTGCCTTCATGTTCCGTTTTAAACGATTTATTCCTTGAGTTCTATGCACACTGGAATCAACAATTCCCATCACGTTCAATGAGGTCAAGATTAATGAAATATATTTGTAAGGGATTAAATCATTACTGTTTAAAATCATTTAATAAAAGTCTGTGATAGCAAGAGCAGAGGATCATGTACGGTTGATTAGGTATGGCATATGACTGAGTGCGTGTGAGAGGAAAACGTAGTAAAGGATAGATGATTTAAAAAAAGCAAAGTCGCTTTGGAGAACAAGATAACAGTGGGGCCTACATCACATTAGACGTCTGTTCATCTGATTAGAGTCAATCGCTTTGTGATGGAAAGTGCCCTCAGATGCTAGGGGACAGCACCAGCGGGAAACTGCACTGTTCTGACTAGAATCCGTGAAACATTAGCCGGGCATACCGTACAGGTCCGCTAGGACAGCTTAGATGTATAGCAGACAGGCAGACGAGTCGATGGCCATTATTGCTTTTCTCCATGGTGCGGCACAAACTACTTCTTCAATTTCCATAGAGAAGCAATTAATGGTACCACAACGTATAGTTAGGCTTAAATGAAAATTAGACCCATGCTATTGATTGGTCCAATAACAAGGCTGTGTTTCCAAGGCGATAATGGCCGTTTCCCTGAAGATTTGGAATTGGGCTATTTCTATATACCCGATCCTGTTGTTTTATCACCAGTAAAACACCACATTTTAATGGAAATTGTCGATAAACACACCATAGCGGGTCAACGATTCAAACCCATAAACAATACACTTAGGTTGGCAGTACACACCGATCATAACATTATTCTGGTTTCTGCTTATATTTCCAAAATGTGACTGTCAAACAACAAATGACAGTTCAAACACAATAGTAAACACCAATCACAACATTATTCTGTTCATTTTTCTATAACATTAAGAAATCGCTCTCAAAACCCAATGACAACACAGTGGTTACATGTTTTCTGCTTTGAAAAGGAGTCAAACATAGTAGGACTTAAGGGGATTTTACAGTTCTTCATAACTCTCTTTGCAATCGTTGTCAAATTAAAAAAAATCAAACATGCATAAGATATATACATAGTAATGACATTTGTAATAAAGCGTGCTTTATAAATGAATATCAAGTTTATATAGAAACATTACTTTGACCTATTTCTAGTCCGTGTGTTTGTTTTTTTTTGCATTTTCTTATGTTTTTATTTTGTAAATATCTGTGTATTTTGGTGATGTGTAACCCGGCCCTTTTGTTTTTTTTCGAGTATTTACCAGGTTTGAATTATTGCCTAATTCGAATGTCTGTTTTACCGTGTTTCGACATTTTTGTGATATCTTCACGTAGTCTATGTTGTTTTATACTAACGTTTTCTCAAAATGTCTATAAGCTACGTGTGTAAAATATACCTATTTGGTGAAGATGTCTCAATAGGTACATATCAATGTGACGAAATATTTATCACTTACCTGACCTATTCGGGTTTTGACACTTACCTGGTCTAGCTGTTTTAGATAGGTAGTTGTATTATGCTCCGCCTCTATAAGTGGTACACCAGTATTGAATATAGTGCATATGACCATTCCAAGAGCAAACATATCACTTAAAAAGTAGCAATATTTTGAGTTTTGGGTCTCAGGTGCTATGTAGTTCAAATCAGGCTGAGCCATTTTAGGCACTTTAGTACTCCAGGGATGACAAATCACTGAATCCTGCAAACAAACAACAGAGAAAGTCACAAAAGCTAAAACGAAGCAAATGTATATACATATGGACAGAAATACGGACTTTTTGTCTTTTGGAGTGCTTTCTAGAGAATGCATTGACCTCCGGTAGGTTATAAAGGGCACCAAACGTTATTTTGTGTCTTTCATTTAGACTGCTGTGTATTTTGTATGATTGTAGCTATTTTCATTTAAAAGTATGTGTTGTCCACCAATATCTATCAAATATATTTTCAATATGTTATACCCCTCTCCACCAATATATCTATCCCCTCTCCACCAATATATCTCTGCCCTCTCCACCAATATATCTATCCCCTCTCCACCAATATATCTATCCCCTCTCCTCAAATATATCTATCCCCTCTCCACCAATATATCTATCCCCTCTCCACCAATATATCTATCCCTTCTCCACCAATATATCTATCCCTTCTCCACAAATATATCTATCCCTTCTCCACAAATATATCTATGCCCTCTTCACCTATATCTATCTATCCCCTCTCCACCAATATATCTATCCCTTCTCCACAAATATATCTATGCCCTCTCCACCTATATATATCCATCCCCTCTCCACAAATATATCTATCCCCTCTTTACCAATATATCTATAAAATCTCCACCAATATAAATATCCCCTCTTCATCAACATATCTATCCTCTCTCCCCCAATTTATGTATCAAATCTTCACCATTATAATTATTGTTTATCCAATCTCCACCAATATATATATCCCCTCTTCATCAACATATCTATCCTCTCTCCCCCAATTTATCTATCAAATCTCCACCATTATAATTATTGTTTATCCAATCTCCACCAATATATCTAGCCGATTATCACCAGTACATCTATCCAATCTCCATCAATATTTCTATGACATTTCCACCAATATTTTTGATGCTATATTCCACTAATATTTTACCTCAACACAAACAATATTTCTTTCCATCAACATTTTATTCTATTCACCAACATTTTATCTATCATATCCACCAACAACTAGTAAAAGCACATAGGAGATTTTCCATTAAAATATATTCAGATACTTTGACGTCTGAGTATTACCATGGTCGGTCCATTTCCTGTTCAACCTATCATCAATATTTTAAAGACAGAAGATTGAACCATTACGTGGTGAGCAGTTTACATACTGTATCTATACAGTATTGAGAATTGAGATGGACAATATTTGAATCTCATTTACGATTCAATTCTCCCAGACTCTTACATTGTACATCTGAAATTACACGACAAGAACCATCAACGTGCTTTTTTACAAAACAAATTTCTACACTGAGACACTCTTTCTAAAACAGGAAGTGGATCATTCGCCATATTTATCCGTTTTCTACAGAGTCACCAATCATCTGGAAGTGCATACATAAAACGCCCAAATCATTTACTGTTCAGTACACAACCTTCAGTATCACACAATGCAAGATTTAGAGAGATATTCAATGAGTAATGTTGTCAATAACAGTGTTATATTGCATTAAATTCCGTGTGCATTTGAACTATAGAGTAGTCAGTGTTGTACAGACACAAATGACACAGGAGCTGATAAAACAGGGTCCAATATATCCGGAAGTTTTACATAACTTCAAATATAGGTGCAGTCGATCCATTCCTAATCAGTATAACTCTGATCATCAAACCAAGTCTCTAGTCGACCTGTATACTAGCGTCCGAGTCTTTGATGAATGATGCTAAGTAAAGCATTTGAGACTTAATGACAAAGATAAATTAAAAAAAAAATCAGATCTGAGATTTATACTCTTTAAGCCGTTATAGAACCTTACAAAAAGTACCTTAAACTACGGAATACGTTAAACTGGCACAATAAGTACAGTACTTACTTATCGTAGTCCATATACGTTTTAACCCAGTTCATGATAAAGCTATATATTCTGAGGAGTTTCCATTAACAAGCATAAGCAGCAATGTAAACAAAGCATTTATGACTTGTTATCGTGTTAGCAATCTTCACGTACTAAGAACTACAACCTTGCATGTGCAGACGATCACACCCTCATTAATCAATATGTTATTAGTGCTATCCTTTACAGTAATAGAGGAGGTTTTGATATACGTCCTACATATCTTTAATTAGTAAAGGATATTATTAACCAAACTAATTCATGAATAATTCATCACCACCACTGTCACATCATCAATCAGCGTGTTGTTATTTGTAAGGAAGCCTAATCCCTCCATGTTGACCATCATGTATTATCATCAGGGGATTACATTACTACCCTGTAATCTCCAGTTTGACACTGTCGGATGTCAGCATTTGCATATCTTATGCATCGAAACGATATACTGATAATATGCAGTTGATAATATTAATTGAATGAATGTTTTCTAATGTATATTATTATTTATATTTTTCATTTTCAAAGATTTTGTAACATTGTAATGTATAATCAGACAAAAATATTTCGATTTCACGCTTTATCTCAGTTTCGTTGAAAACCTTTATACATTCCTTTGTAATAGATGGCCAAACAATTATAATATAGACTTTTAGATTGTTTATTTGTTTCCACGTCGAACTTAAAATCAATAGAATGAGGGTAAAGAATGAACAAAGAAAATATTTACATAGAGACCATTAACAATAATAATAAGACCAGGTGTTTCGGAAGGGTAAATATCTTTTGCTTCATTAACGAAACTTGTCAGGTCAAATCCAAAAGTCTCACCTTTGCAAACGAAAACCGGGAAACAACAAGGCACACTTAAAAGCATAAAAACGTGCATCGACACTCATATCGCCTTAGTTTCCTTCAGTCTGCATCTATCGAAACCCTGTGCTTAAAATGTATCAGTCAACAGTCCACATATAACAATGAAATCATGAACATGCTCTTAAATAACTAACCATCTGTGATATTTAAACACTGTTGGCTGGGAAAACAGGAATGTTACTCTCGAGAATGGGAAAGCTCAGGATCAGAAAATCAAAATCGTGAATGAAACAGAAGACGCTCACCCTTCCGGAAAACCTGGTCTTATTATCCTTATACCCTTTTTGAAGGACCTTCATGTACATATTTCTTTAAATTATATTTTGCCATAGTTTTATCGATTTTGAGTTCGAATTGCGGTTTTGTTGGTACGTCGGTACTCTCTTGTTGTCTTAAACCGTTCCTGATTTTCATGTTGTGAATACAGATCGAGAAAACTGGGTGATTGAAAAAAGGATGTAGTGTCCTGAATTTTAATCTATAGAGAATGTATACGACCGACGCGTCAATTCATTTTCCCTCATTTAAGGACAAATCATCTTCGATGTACATTTGTATCTGAAAAGTGAAAACGAAGGACTTTTTACTACCAGCCTTTCAGACATTTCAGCCTCGTATAGCAAACGGTCAGAAAAAGGGCCGAATGTGTTAATATAGGAATCGAAACAGCTTGTTGGAAAATCTGGTCACCGAACTAAAAATGATACTTACAACCAGAAGTTAAAATATTTTCCCGATTCCATTCTCAATCTTTTATCTGTGGTTTGTCGTGTTTTTCACAAAATGTGCTCCAAACTAGTTTACAATAGATATGTTTATATCACCGTCTGCCATTTTTGGGAAAGAATAACCATGGTAAAATAAGTTAAGACAACCATAGGGGCGAGTACTGTATAACAATTTTCGTACACCAACGTCATTTTAAGAGAATGTCATATCAGCTTCGTGAAGTTCGTATATCTATATTGACTTTGTGTCATTAAAGCACAGCGCATACAATTCACTAAATCATATTTATATATTCTTTATTCGTTTGTTTAATTTGCGTAAAATAAAATTACCTGGACCACTCGAAAAAACAAAAAATCGGTGTTAAAACATTCTGTACAATTGACCAACCTTTCCATCACGTACAGTCTCGGCGAAGCACAGGGCCGCCAGTTTCCACGTACCCCTCTTCGTTATCAAAATAGACTGTGGAGAAACATTCTTGTGAACCATCTGCTCCACGGCGTGCAGGTAACATAAGGCCTCGGTGATCTGTCAGGTAAAGTAAATAATATAAATAAAATAACATTAAGTTAAAATATGAAATCTACTAGCATTTAGAATCACTAAATATCTCACATCTCTACATGTGGCGTTCTGTGGTTAGAACAACTTGATATCCTCACATCTCTACATGCGGCGTTCTGTGGTTAGAATAACTTGATATCCTCACATCTCTACATGTGGCGTTCTGTGGTTAGAATAACTTGATATCCTCACATCTCTACATATGCCGTTTTGCGGTTAGAATCTCTGAATGCTTCCCAGCTCTGAATATGATGTTACATGGTTAGAAAAACATTTAATATCACCTACCTGGTTCAAACCATTAAAACAATGGATCCAAAATTTAAGTGTACTGTATTGTTTTTGGTTTATATGTAATGTGCGTTTTTTTGTACACAACTTCAATATGAATGTCTGATACATCTAGTAATATTATTTTATGCGTTTAATAATCTTGTCGTATAGATTTGATATTGGATATTATGGTCTTAGGGGTTTAAGTGTCTGATACATCTAGTTGTATGGTTTCACGCGTTGGATAATCAAGTCTTATGCTTTTACGGGTCTGATGCCTTTAGTCGTATGGTTTTTCGCTACAGATACATGTTTTAGTTTTTTATAGTTGAGTCATCTGTTGTACATAAGTTATATATTCCTACGCATGGGGTACATGGCATACTGCATCGTATCTTAAATGATTATCAATTGTTGTTTACTTCTCTTTTGTTGGAGGGCTAATTAGCCTGAACTGCCTGCTAACTCCGACTATAAGCTGGAAGATCACGCGATGGGAGGTCTTAGGCTGCCGTGTGGACCCAGCCTGTATGATCAGTAATCACAGCCGCCACACGGCGCCCATCAACCCACCAAGGTCAGGATATGGATATCTCGTCTATGTACTAAATTTCAATTAGATCACAGCTCTAATGAATGTTTATTCCCTGTGATCCTCCATCGAACGAACGCTTATTGCAGACCTGTCAACCATTTTGAATTATAACATCAATCCTGGTCATGTATGGATTCAATCAAGGCAAATCGCCATCAACTTTATTACTCGACTACATAATATCAAAATCCGTTTTGTTCGTCTATCAAATCAAACCAAAATACATAAAACGTTGCTAGATATTTTAATGCAGTATTAAAAGAGAATGATCAATAAACATGGAGTATAACTCACTAAATGGCGATATTGTGGTATGAGAATGTCCCAACATACATGAAGAACATCTATCTTATAAAGGACAGTGAGTACCTACTGATACTGATACCAGTATTCCGTCTTTGCGTATTGCAGAGTTATCTTCTCTTGTGAGCAGGCATTGATTGTTACGCCATTGGTTTGTTAGAGTAACATCATCAACTATTGAGAAAACAACGTAATTTTCTCGACACAAGCCATTGACGTAACAATCAATACCTGCTCACAAGAGAAAATAACTCTGCAATACGCAAAGACGGAATTGGTGTATTCGAAGCATAATAAACAGTATGAGCTCTGCTGCGTAGATAGTTCAACCAGTCGATATCAGGTTTAAGTTTCATCCTGCCGAATATGACACTAGTGACGTTCACCACAGGAAGGTGATATCTGTTTGAAGAGGATCGACGACCTCTCGGTGATTAGGTCTGGTGAAAATGCATACGGGTGAGGACTTGGCGGGCAGGTTTGTCACGTTATCAACAAATGCTGGACCGTATCCGTTTGCTATCTTGTCTAGACGGACGAAGATGAATTTAATGGTTCGATGATGGTGAATAAGGAGATGAGACTCATGGCACGAAGCAAGCTTTATAGGACAATATTCACGACTGATTGGTACCTACGTATAGGATGGGATCGGTAGATAACAGAGAACATACGAATGAACAATTCTCTTTTTTCTTTTGTTTCCAGACCGAATATCCGCATGAGTCTGTGTTACGCTAAATAGAAATCTTAAGTACAAGCGGTGTCTTCATGATCGTTAGGAGTCAAAATGTGTGACGTATTGCTTGTTATTTCTATGAAATAGCCTGAAATCAGTAAGACGAAATTCGGATTGCAAAATGATAAGTTTACCATGGGGATTGAACTTTCGTTTTTATGAATTCTTCCTAAGTGCGATATCTTTTTAATGAAAGTTGTCCAAAGAAAATTATCAAGTGAATAATAAAAATGGCATAAAAATATGATAATGGTAATTGAGATTGGTTACATTGTACACGGGTTAATCACTCTAATATGATGTAAGTTAAGAATGTGTATCGAGGTGTTTTTAAGAGATATTACAATGGTAATTTAAATCAAATATCGAGCCGCGATAAACTGCTTCCATATAGTTATTTTTGCAGTATATGACTGTTTCATATTACCCCCCCCCCCCCCCCCCCCCCCCNCATTTCCCAAGCCAGTAAAGTACATGTGTTTCTTGCGTGTAGTAAACCTCCCTATATTTCACATTTTACCTGTAGTAAACCTCCCTATATGTCATATTTTACCTGTAGTATACTGTTCTATATTTCACATTTTACCTTTAGTATACCGTACTATATTTCACATTTTGCCTGTAGTGTACCGGACGATATTTCACATTTTACCTGTAGTATACCGTACTATATTTCACATTTTGCCTGTAGTGTACCGTATTTTATCAATATCTTACCTGTAGTATACCGTACTATATTTCACATTTTGCCTGTGGTGTACCGTACTTTATCAATATCTTACCTGTAGTATACCGTACTATATTTCACATTTTGCCTGTAGTGTACCGTATTTTATCAATATCTTACCTGTAGTATACCGTACTATATTTCACACTTTACCTGTAGTGTACCGTACTTTATCAATATCTTACCTGTAGTATACCGTACTATATATTGCATATCTTACCTGTTGTATACCGTACTATATTGCATACCTTACCTGTAGTATACCGTGCTATACATCATATATTGTCTGTAGTATATTGTCCTTTACATCATATCTTGCCTGTAATATATTGTGCTCTACATCATGTCTTGCCTGTAATATATTGTGCTCTACATCATATCTTGCCTGCAGTTTATTGTGCTATACATCATATCTTGCCTGTAGTATATTGTGCTATACATCATGTCTTGTTTGTAGTATAACGTGTAACCCATTTGTATATTTGTTCAAAACAATATGTTTAAACTTACTTAAAACGTGCTTTATATCATATCTAACCTGAGGTATACCGTATTATATTTCATATCTTACCTGTAGTATACCGTACTGTATTTCATAGTCCAGAAATTCATGGTCCTGGAGGAAGAAAATAAAAATAATTTATATTAATTATACATGCCTTGTTTTATAGCTATTGCATGCATGACACTATACGTTGGAGATATCAGGTATTTCATTTATTTCATATTCATGTATTTTGCTAATGCAAAGAAGATCTTACAGAAAGGATATCAACTATTTTGATTATCACGTACACTATTTAGAGTTGACTTATTGATGGTCATTTAAATATACTTAACAATTGATATACCGTTTTCACAATCCGACAAGACACGGTCCTGCAGCTTTTATAAATAGAAATGAAGCGCAGGTCTAAACTACCATGCCTTATTTGATGAACTGCGATATTGCTTCACCCACTGTACCATAGTCTATTACAACATCATCTGATGATTTGCTAATCAGGGCGACAGCCTATTGATTTATTTGATATGGATGACAAACTGATAATTTCTCTGACAAAGGTATCAGGAAAATTAGCATTAATTTGATAAGATAAACTGATAATTCCTCGAGGTAGGGTGTTAGACTGATCATTTATCTGACTAGGTTGACTAATAGGTTCTTCGTCTGCTGTTAGGATATAGCAGATTAATCTCAACCCGAAGTGTGATTATTTTGGTTCTCTGACCTAAAGCCTTCAGCATTAGCTTTAGCGTGAGGGATGATATATCTTCTCTCATCAAATAAATAACATTTTTGAAACATTGGTTATCATAATTTCTTATCTGCATTTGATCCTGATTTGTAATCGACTTCAGCCGATGACACCTGATGGTGAAAATACATTGTTTCCCTGGTGTCATCATTTGTTGGTGTTTTTTTTCGCGAGACAACTGTCATACCCTCGGGGGTGGCAGAAACATTAAACCATCGGGGGTGACAGAAACATCGTACCCTACTGGGTGACGGGATTATCTTTGGTATACAGGTAAAACGTGAAACACTTCAGTGAAATACAGATCATATGTCTGACTAGGGTGACTTAATCGAAAGTAAGACAACCCACTGACGTATCACAGGTTAAAGCAGTTACATATGTAAGAGACGCACTACATACGTTTGTAAATAGTAACATGAAGTTGTTGTCTTTATAGTCACCCAGTTCTTTAGTGTTTACTATTAGTGCAAGTTTTGAAGTATCTATACACTGCTCATTGAGTTTTATAAATAAGTAACTCAATTCACATAGATTATTATAGGAACAACTATCGCAAACCTTAAGAAAACAGCATTAGGCGGATTAGGTATGAAAAGTGACTTCGTGCACCGCGCGTGACGCCCGCAATCAAAACAACAAGAAAACGCCTAGGTGTTGCAAAATAGTAATTCGAACTCAAAATCGATAAAACTGGGGAAGCTTATTAGCAAAGGGAAGCTTTATATGGAGACTTGAAAAAGTACAAAGAGAATAAGACAATGAGCTCCGGAAGGGTAATAAGTACGTCGGTTAGCAGGGATGTCAGCGCCTTATCCTATACGCATACCAATATTAAATATTTTTAGATTTTGTAATGAATTCACATTGACACTAATTTGAGTGGAGCTATTTTCTCCTTTTCTGATTGGCCTGTATTACTAATGCTGTACACTGATGTGTCAATTACAACCTGTTCAAGAATGTGTATCACTGCTAATCAATTCGAGAGAAAGGCGTTCGACTCCCTGTCTTACTTGTCTACCCATTTGTCGCTGTCCTTATCCGGTTTGTACGCTCCACTTGACATCAAAAACAACGCGATGCCGTTCTGACAGACGCCTAAGTGTGTTTAGAAAGAAATCAATGCAAGTTAAACAACTTCAGCTTGTATTGACAGCACATTTTTTTTTAAATCGATATAGAAATATTTTGGTTGTGGAACAATCAAATAGAAAATATTCGAATGACTTTAAATCTCTAAGGCTTTTATGTGTTTATTTAATCTATTTCCATGACAGCATGCACAAACTTGGCTTGAACTGACGGCGCACCATAGCATGTCTACGTGCTGGCAATACGATATATTGGTTTCTCGAAGTAAATCCGGCACGACACAGCATTTCTGTAAGATTGGCCTCTTCCTGCTGACCATATTGCATTGATCAGTTTTACAACAGAAAAAGCTTCAGTTTCATTGTTTTAGAGATACAGCTTTCGTTTTGTATAACCTGGCACGTCCTTAAATGTGTTAATGTGTTGATATCATCGACCACCGGCCAGTACCTGGCGACTGCCACACATAGGTCTCGAACCCGCGACCCAGTGGTGGAGGGCTAGTGGTGGCAGAGTGTCAGACGCCTTAACCACTTGGCCACCGCGGCACATTATAGCATCTTAATCCATTCATGTTCATAGATATTTTTTCAGCAATAATTCTTCACTTTTTTGTCTCAGAAAGTAACGTGCTCTTTAGGGCGATATCTTGTCAGGTAAAGAATAGAAAACAGAGAGTGAATTAGTCACTAGTGTTAAATCATCGATGTGCCAACGTCACGATTATTTTAGCAACGCAGTTTGTTAATTGTACAACGAGAGTTTCATGCGTATGTTTCATCCATAACCATAGTCAACATGCAGTCAACCGTGATCAGGTTGACACGTCGTTGTTGTCGTCTGCCTAGGTTACCCAGAACTTGGTTGTGGACGCTCTTGCCCATTTTGTTAAGAGAGGGTTTTGTTAATAGAAATATGACCAGGGATAAATCTAGTGTGCGTGAGGTTGACACGATGTTGTATTTCCCCGTCATGTGATCAATATAGTCCAATCAGATTCAATGATATATAGATGAGTTGTACAACAGGGGAGAATTCATTTCTCATAAAACAGGGGATGTAGTAATTATCATCAGAGATAATAACTATCATACGGTAGAACAGATAATCTTGCTACAATAAAGAGAAAATATAATCAAAGTACATCATTTGAGATAATCAAAATACGAAAGGGGAGATCATATCATTATACGACAGAAAGAAAATTATAATAAAAACAGGACAATAATTAGACACAAATTAAGCCGTAAGATATTTTACCGATATTCATAACTTATTTTCTGAGCTATGTTTTTTTCAATACTGAAATCAGCATTTTCCCTAAATTGATCCTCTGTGCTGGACTAGTACATGAAGTAGTATCTGACTATGTTCGGAAAGTATCAAGCAACCAAACTAAAAGATGTATTGATTGTTACATAACTAAAGTAATATCAAGATATTTCACCATTCCACCCATCCATTTTTTTATCCTGGCTAATCATAAAGCAAACTCAATATGTTTCTTTCTTTATACACAGGAAAGATGTTTTTTCTAAAGTAGATATAAATTATCGTTATGGAAGTGCCTGTAACCTGATCAAATGTACCTTTTTTGCGTATCTTCGCAGTTAATTCCTACAGTGTCCTTATACAATTGTTTGTTTGTTTGTTTATGTTTAACGGCCCATCGACGGCTTGGTCATTTAGGGCCATGGTGATTTTTTTTTTTTTTTTTTTTTAACAAACATGTGAGTAGCGAAGATAAAATCAGATAAAATGGTTCATTTTAAAAGCATTCGCATTGTATGTGTAGATAATAAAAAATAAAAAGGGGGTTAAAATAATAAAAGAGATAACGAATAGATGATATGGAATATGTGATATATATATAACGTCAAAAAGGGTAAGGTGGGTTAAAAAACATCAGAGTCTATAAAATAGACCGATGTCTTTCAAATAGTTAAATAATGCCTTCGAATCCACGGAACTGAAAAGTGTTTTCATATCCGGGACTCGAAAGTAGGTATCACGAAGGTGTTTAACATTCGGAACATTCTATTAAAAAATGTTCCACTGTAAATGGAGTGTCACATGCGTGGCATGAAGGTATATCTTCTCGTTTTAAAAGGTACGAATGAGTAGAATATGTATGCCCAGTACGGGGCCGAGCGAGGATAACTTCCTCTCTACGATCTTTCCGACTGGGAATAGATGTTTCGGTTGTATCTTAAAAAGTTTGTTGTTGGTCTCGAGAGACCAGCGTTGCTGCCATTCATTTTGAATGGCTGTTCGAATAGTAGGTTTAAAATCTGTGTATGGTAGTTTGATATTTGTTTGTTCGAGATTCAATGCATTTTTTGCTTCCCTGTCAGCAAATTCGTTGCCTTTAATTCCGACATGGCTNNNNCGGTGTTCATCGATATGGTCGAGGGCCAAACCAATGGCGCATGCTTCAGCAGAAAAGATGGAGGCGCCGTCTGGTAGTCGGACTGAAGTGCAAGTATTAGCAGTACAGCAGGCTGCTGCCACGTTCTCAACTTCTTTAAAACCATCGGTGTAAAGTTGTGTATGAGAAGGGTAATTGGAAATGCATTCCCGAAAGGAGGATTTGTGTTCTTCGGGCATAACACTTGATTTCTCTCGCTCATGTAATGTAAAGTTAAAATCGGGGGTTTGAATGGTCCACGGAGGAACATCAGATATGTTAAATTCAGCTATGTCCGTCAACTTTATGTTGAGTTCTTGCAGGAAATTTGAAATTCGGATACCAAATGTTGGCAGAAGTTTTTGGTTTTGCGTAAATATGTTTTGGTATTTTGGGTTGCATACTTGGTCGAAAGCAGGATTTTTAGGGTTTGATTTTAATTGAGCTGCAAATTGTCTTAAACAAACATAGCCAAGGTTAAATATATTTTTTTATCACATAATCGAGCCATTTTACTATTTCATACTGCCATGTCATAAATATGGTATGACACACGTGTAATAAAACCTAAAGGTGCTGCGTGGGAACATATTCATACGCCACTACAACATTTTGAATTTTTTCAACTCGTTTTTATTTCAGATAAAGTTAAATGTTTTTGCTATTAAATGAATTTGAAATGTCTATTTTGTCTTTATAATTTTCATTGCATTTAAAATTGTTCTTTATAATTTTCATTGCATTTAAAATTGTTCTTTATAAACAAAATGTAATCTGGAACTACTTTGCACTGCGAGGAAAGACAATACTATGATCGGAGTACTTTGTTTTTGACCTTTTAAAGAGTCAGCTGATAACAAATAATTGTGAAATATGAAAGTTACGTGATAATAGAATCTTATATTCGTGTCGATACTATATTGAATTCATTAAACTCGTTCAAGAAATTCAATATGACATGGGCACTCATGTAAGATCCTCTCTCTATATAGATTAAATTCTATTGGAATACTCTGGCCAATGGAAATATAGGAAATAACATTGACATTCGCCTGAACATTTTATAAAAAGTCTATAAATGCACGGGTCCATCTTAAAAGAAGTTATTCTACAATTTTTTGTTTTCGAGAAATAAAGGAATAATGATTCTGTAGGAAATAACGAGACGGCAGAAAAATCCAGGTTCGTTAGGATTCTTGATATTTGATATATATTATTGCAATATTCAGCAATATGATATATCAGTCTAATTATTCTTCTCAATTATGTACCTGTCATGCGAGTGCTATAGACATCTAGGGAGACCACGCGCGACCTACAGTGTGGTGAAAACATGTGATGAGAAAATATACTCTCAAACATTTTATTCCATTTCCTAAAACCAGATTTATGTGTTTTAACGATCACTTTATGCAGGTTCTATGAGACTTTTGATATAGATTTTACAATGAATCGCAAAGACTTCCAATGATATATTTGTAGTGAAAATTCTCACATTTATAACATAAAAACCGGCACTGTACTACTTGTAAGATTTAACGGAAGAACGAGTTGTAGGGCTACATTGGAATGTAGAATCGTGTGAGGTATTCTGAAACCCATCAGTTGGTTTGTCTATGCAATCTTTGGTACAGTTCTAGAAAACCCACAACTAATCACAAGAAAACACATACTACTCCCTTTCGTATGGCTTTGGGTTTGACCTTCAACAGTCAAGGTACAAATAAGAGAACATTTATATATCTTTGATGACCCCTTGACCGTAGTATCTGATGTCTTAGACTGTGAAATTGATGTGGGACTAGTGTATTTCGTGTCATTTAAGGAAGGTAGATGATACTCATTATGGGCGCTAGTAGAGGTAGCGCTATAACCAAAGGAAGATAGATTACAACAACAACGCGGTTTGTGAGAGGAATGTTGCGCATTAGAAGCCAGACTATCGTACACCTGTACGATAGACTCATTAAAAGTGTGAAAGTCGAATGTACATTCAATGTGGACAAAGTAATGGGTGTTTACCTGGTTCTCTCGAGTTAAAATGCGTTGAAAAGATCATTTTTAATAAAGAATATGAGCTTTGAAAGCAATCATGTGAAAAGGAACTGTTCGAATTGACATTCAGACGTAAGAATACGTCAGCCGATCAATGTAAACATTTAGATCTGGAAAATAAGTTATTTTTATTTGTGCAGACAACTATGCCAATTTTTGAAAAAAAAAGTATCATTTTAAGAGATAAGTACAAACCCAAACGTTTCATTTTTTTTAAACGGTATTCTGTACACTGGCAACAGATATTTGCATCAGCAAAATCTTCATAAATATTTAAAAGAAAACAGAGAGAAACTAACCCTTATTTCTGGAGGAGCGGGCGTTGGTATCCTGTCGTATCGGCCTAGCACATTGGCAAGACTGGCAAACAGCGGTTCTGTGGCAAAGGCCAGACTGTTACTGAAATACACAAACATAAACGATACAAGTTAAGCGTTCATTTTTTTTTTAATACACTGTGTCAATCATTCGTGTAGCATCTGCGTATTAAAACTGTTTAAAGTCCTCATGCGCAACCATGAACGATCGTTTAAGGTGCATGTGTACTATTCGGCTAGAGAGTCATTGCCATTAGCTCAACGGAAAACAAAAGCACTAGGCCTTTTTGTGAAGGCACAAACCCCATTTTAAAGCTTGCTCTGTTTATTGTTTAACAAGGCCACTACCCGCAATACTTCTTAACATCAAATGAAAATACAGTCGTACTGTGACTTTGTATACCCCAGAAATGTACATAATGGAATACGAAAAAAAATCACGCTTTTCTTTACAGGGTATTCAGTGACCCTTACGGCAAAATGCATGCTCCTGGCACAGTTATTCAGAGACCCTAGCGAAAAATATATACACTGCTAACACGGTTATTCAGTGTCTTAGCGGCAGATATACACTCCGCAGACGTAGTAATTCAGTGACTTAGTGGCAGATATACACCCCATTGACACGGTTATTCAGTTACTTAGCGGCAAATATACACGCCGCTGACATAGTTATTAAGTGAATGAGCGGCAGATATACACCCCATTGACACGGTTAATCAGTGACTTAGCGGCAGATATACACCCTAATGACACAGTTATTCAGTGACTTAGCGGCAGAAAACCACGCCGCTGACAAAATAAGTCAGTGTCTTAGCGGCAGATATACACCCCACTGACACAGTTATGTAGTGACTTAGCGGCAGATATTGAGATATGAATTTAGTGAGTAAGCGGCAGATACAAAAAATCGCCTCTGACATAGTAAGTCAGTTTCTTAGCGGCAGATATACACCCCACTGACACAGTTATTCAGTGACTTAACGGCAGATAAACACGCCGCTGACATATTAATTCAGTGATTTAGAGGCAGATATTAACGCCGCTGACATATTAATTCAGCGACTCAACGGCATCATTATCTTAGCGGCAGATGTAAACCCCGTTCACATATTAATTCAGTGACTTAGCGGCAGATACACACGCCGCTGACATAGTAATTCAGCGACTTAGCGGCATCAGTATCTAAGCGGCAGATATATACCCCACTGGCATAGGAATTCAGTGACTTAGCGGCAGATATACATCCCAATGACACAGTTATTCAGTGACTAAGCGGCAGATATACATGCCGCTGACATAGTTATTCAATATCTTCGCGGCAGAAAAAATCGCCTCTGACATAGTAAGTCAGTTCCTTAGCGGCAGATATACGCCCCACTGACACAGTTATTCAGTGACTTAACGGCAGATATACACGCCGCTGACATATTAATTCAGTGATTTAGTGGCAGATATGAACGCCGCTGACATATTAATTCAGCGACTCAACAGCATCATAATCTTAGCGGCAGATATAAACCCCGTTCACATATTAATTCAGTGACCCAGCGGCAGATACACACGCCGCTGTCATAGTAATTCAGCGACTTAGCGGCATCAGTATCTAAGCGGCAGATATATAACCCACTGACATAGACATTCAGTGACTTAGCGGCAGATATACATCCCAATGACACAGTTATTCAGTGACTTAGCGGCAGATATACACGCCGTTGACATATTAATTCAGTGACTTAGCGGTCGATACACACTCTGATGACATAGTTATTCAGCGACTTAGCGGCATCAGTATCTTAGCGGCAGATATACACCCCACTGTCGTAGTAATTCAGTGCCTTAGCGGCAGATATACAAGCCGCTGTCATATTAATTCAGTGCGTTAGATACGCGTGCTGTTGGTGTTGTAATCGAGTGAAGTTACCGAGTGTAATCATGTAGAGTATATGGTTAATTATTTTGTATTTAATCTCGTTATTAGGTTAGTCAAAGGTCGTTCTCTTATGTACTTGCAGGAAGACCTGACGTCACTGTTAAATATGTTTCAATAACGGCTGGTAATTTGACGCTATCAAACCTATGGCGTATATAATTATTCTCAGCAATTTACAATATTTTTCCAAATATTTGTTTTGGACGAGTTGATAATAAAAATATGCAACTTAAGATCTAGTATTGAAACTTAAACTGTTGTGAAATGACAGTCGACGTTTGTAACGGATGATGTTAATTGCAATCCGAGTTTCAATCTAAACGAAGAGAAAACTATATGTTATTTGAAAGCAACCACCATTTACAAGGTTTTTACTAATCCGTCTTTAAGATACCTAGTCACACTTGGATAAAGACCCCGTGAACAAAATTGTCGATCAATCTCTGAATATGACATTTTCATCATGTTTCTAATTGCTCTTGTTTCTCGAATCAAGTCAAGAGCACTATTTTTGACAGCTATTTATTCAAATTATCTGAATTTTCTGGAACCCTGTCAAGAAGAATTTGCTTCTGAGTGTACAAATGGATTAACATGATAATAAAACACATCTCCAATGCACGTCTTAAGTACATCAATGTTACGTAATTATGTAAGCATTAACCTAGATGTTACTATCAAATGTACTAGATGTACTATGGAGGAGCGACCTTTCATGGCAGAGGTGTGTTATTGTCATGTAAATCTAGATGTACTTTGGGTGTGCGAGCCTTTAGGGTGACGGTTTGTTGTTATCATGTACATATATATGGATTATGGGTGCGCGAGCCTTCATGGCAGAGGCGTGTTATTATCATGTAAATCTAGATGTGCTATGGGCGTGCGATCCTAAATGACATAGGTGTGTTATAATAATATATTGATATACGATGGGTGTGCGACGTTAAATTGCAGAGGAGTGTTATTATCATGTCAATCAAGATCTATATGCGACCTTTCATTGAAATGTTAATATTCTGTTTATCTAGATGTTATCTAGTCAGGTGACCTTTTATGGGAAAGGTGTGTTATAATCATTAAAACCTAGATATTCTATGAACGTGCGACCTTTAGTTGGAGAGGTTTTATTATAATCTTAATCTAAATGTATTAAGGGCATGCGACCTTCCATGAGCGAGTTGTATTATTATTAATTTAAACCAGATGTACTTTTGGCTGTGACCTTTCTCAGTGGAGCATCCAAAAGTGTAAGGTGTCGTAAAAAGAGGTCGCACGTCCAAAGCACGTACCTTTTGAATTTATATTGGTCTACTCCTTATACACCAATCTATCGTAAGTATGTAGAATGGTATGTTTGTCTAAATAATACAACAACACATATTCATCTTAGGTAATCTTCTAACTCGTAATGCTGGGGAAGTGGTCTTAACTCAATTCAAATAACAGCTTCCAAAACAAATCAACATTTCAAATTTCCATTTAAAAAAAAACCCGTTCGCTGGGTGTGACAACTTAATGTTAGGTTTGATTTGCAAGCTAATACATGTGTGTGGTTCTAATTCTCCTTTACTCGGCCTATGGGTTCTCGGTGAAATGACTGGTGTAGTTCGCTGAGATCAGCCTGTAACCGTTACACATTGTTTTTGCATGCTAAAGTTTTACTCTGTATTATATATCGATTTAAATATTACCATTTTACCAAATTTACCAAATGGAAGACCGCAATGTTTATCGAACAAACATCAGACTTTTAATGGTTATACTATGCAATCCAAACATAAATCCATCTACATTGATCACAGGAGATATATACACGTGTGAAAATATTTCGATCGCGTTTCAACAGCAATAATTTTCGCAGAAAGATATTGGCTGGTTGCAAAGACGGATACTAATTTGTGAACCGCTTTGAGACGACCTATCAACTAGGTTGTGATAAAGCTGTATGTAAGAACCTCGAATTATTTTTAATATTATTACATGGGATAAAAAAATAAACAATAAAGTCTTTTTGTTAGTTGTTAAAGAACAAACACAAACACAACCACCTCACGAATGTAAAGGTCATTCATAAAATCAATATAAACGGTAAAGATGTGTGTCACCGACTTGAAATCATACACAGTGCTGGCCTTAACAATGGAGCAATGGCGGCACTCATCAGCGGTACTGATATGGGCGGAACTTCTCCTCTCATTACGTGAATATGATACCCTGGAGTATTTCTAGATTTTCACTTAAAACCAATATTTATCCTGCTTTTAGCTAACGAAGTTTCATTGCCTCTTTAATAAGCTAGTAGTCCTCATTAAATTTCCAATGAGCTCTCTGAATATATATTTTCAAAACGTTCGGTTAAAACTTTTGTGATTGATAGAAATTAAGTGTCTTTTAAAAAAGAAAAAACTGATATTAATGTATCAACATATCATATAAAATATTGCGTTTAAATTGAACCTGTCGTTGGTATAAAGTTTGATAAAAATCCGTTAATGCATGACATTTGTATAGCCCAGTGATGGCATTTAATTGGTTTACGAAAACGTTGAAATTGGCCTTAACCTTTGAACCCTGAAATATCGACTCATTTGGGGTATTCTTGTTCTTGACTATTGTATAAAATAATAAAATATCTTATCATGAAAGAAAACGCTTAATCAAATATATATAGAAAATGGAACGGGGTGGGGGGTGGGTTACGCTACGAGGTTTTTTTTCCCAGTGCGATCGCTTGTTCAGACGAAAATCGTATATGAATCATAAGATTATTAAAACAAATCCCTTATGTTAATTTCAATACAAAGAATGTTATAGAGACATCAAAAATAATCTATGAGCTATTAGCCAAATAAACATCAATATACGTAATAGATTAGGAGAAGGCAAAATGGGTGATTCCAAATCACGCTAACTTGAACAAACAATAGCTATCGGTCTATAGCCTACATTCTGATCGTCTTAGTTAGAATTAGGTCGAATTCGCCTCCTCTAACGACGGTAATCACACTCAGTATTACAATACCCTGCACGTTTCGGGGAGGCGAGAATGTCAATCTAGGAAGCAATTAAGCTCCGGTTTATCCATGTACGATTACCTTGGTACCGGAGACGGATTATTTTCACTTTTATGCGAGATTGCTTCGATACTT